GTGGGGAGTCTAGGGGCTGTCAGGATGTTGGGGCACTGGGACTGTCAGGTTTTTGGGGCACTGGGGGCACTGGGACTGTCAGGATTTTGGGGCATTGGGGGCTGTCAGGTTTTTGGGGCACTGGGGGGGTTATCTGGCATCACTGGGGGTTCAGGGGACTTGGGACCTAAAGGAAGGGACAAAGAGGCAAACTGGGATTTGCATAAAAAGGGCACTGGGCAGACTGGGATTGGCACAAATGGGGCACTGGACAGACTCAGAGGAGCACGACACATACTGGGAGGGGCACTGGGCATACTGGGACGTACTGGGAGAGGCACTGGGGTCCCTGCTCACCCATAACCAGCGCCAGGTGGTCACTCAGCAGGTCCCCCCTGTCCCCTACACGCAGCTGGGCCAGTTCATCCTCTCGCAGGAGGTGCTGGGGGGGAGAGGTCAGAGGGGCACCCCAACACCCCCAGGCACCCCCAAACCTTGCCCCAGCACCCCAACACCCCCAGGCACCCCCCAAACCCTGCCCCAACACCCCAGGTACCCCCAGAACCTCTCCTAACATCTCAACACCCCCCAACAACCCCACACTCTCTGTGCCACCCCAATCTCCCAAATATTCCCAGCACCCCAAAGCCCCTCTGACACCCCAAAGCCCCTCTGACACCCCAAAACCCCTCTGACACCCCACCTTGGTGCCCGAGGCCCCCTGGCAGTGCCCCAGGACCCCTCTGGCCGCCATCTCCACGAGCTGCTGGAAGTCGGGGGTCCTCGCCACGAAATCCGTCTCGCAGTTCACCTGGGGGACACGCAGTGACTCCGGGGGCACCGAGACCCCCCCCGGGAAACCGGGCTCCCCCCAGACCCCGTCACTCACCTCCACCATGACGGCGGCCGAGCCCTCGCTCAGGACCCCCACGAGCCCCTCCCGTGCCCGGTGAGCCCCGGGGGCCGCAGCTCGGGCCCAGCCCCGGCGCCGCGACTCGGCCTCGAGCCAGGCCTCGGCCTGGGGGGGACAAACGGGAGGGGACGGGCTCATCCCAGCGACCCCCGTCACGGACCCGTCCCTGCCCCCCCTGCGACCCCCGGAGTGCCCCCCGCCCCCTCCCACCCTCCAGCTCCACATCCCCTCTCCTGCCCCCCCCTCCCCATGGTCCCGGGTCCCCTCCCGGGATTTGTGTTCCCCTTTGGAGCCCCCCGGGTCCCCTCCCCCGCCCGGGTCCCCCCCGGTGCCGCCCCCACCGCAAGTGACCGGCTGTTTCTCGCCCGAGCCCCCCCAGTCCCGTCACCTGCCGCAGGTCGCCCCCCGCCCGCTGCAGCGCCTCCCGGCAGCGCATCACCGGCTGCCCGGTGCGCGCCCGCAGCTCCCGCAGCTCCCGCAGCGCCGGGGGGGCCGCGCTCAGCCAGCGGCCCGGGGCGGCCTGCGGGGAACGGCGGCGTCAGCGGCAGCCCCGGAGCAGCGGCCCGGGAGAGGGGTCCCGAACGCCTGGGGGGGGCTGGTCTGGGGGGGTCCCGGGGAGGGCCCGGTTGGCTCGGGGAGTGTCCCGGGGCGGGGGGGTCCCGGGGCGCGGGGGTCACGGGGTGGTACCGGAGGGGGGGTGGGAGAGGGCAGAGCGGTGGCGGGGGGTGCTCGGGGACAGGCGGGGGGATCCCGGGATGGGGGGGTTCCGGGGCGGGGGGGTCCCGGGATGGGGGGTTCCGGGATGGGGGGGTCCCGGGACGGGGGGATCCCGGGGGTCCCGCTCACCCGCGCCGCCCCCCCGAGCGCGCCCAGCGCCGCGCGCTGCATCCCGGCCTGCCCGCGGCGCGCCGCGTGACGTCACGGCCCGCTTGACGTCACGACCCGGCAATACGGGCGCCGGGAAGGGTCAGAGCGCGGGATTGGCTGCACTTGTGTGACGTAAGCGTGGGTGCGACGGGGCCGCGGGATTGGCTGGGGGGGATTTTGGGAGGGGGGAGCTCGAACTGCCCGGCCCGAACCCCCCCGCACCAGAGAGACCCCCCAGCCTTGCACAGCCCCTCCCCCCGGGCCCTTAGAGCGCCCCCAGCCCTGACCCGTCCCCTGCACACCCTCATAGAGCCCCCCCGACCTCCGAACCCCCCCCGATCCTCACAGACCCCCCCAAACCTTCCAAAC